TATGGAAGTGAAACTTACATTATACATGTTATAATGGACTCAAGATGGGGAAAATAATCAATTATATTTATCCAAATAGTTCCCATTTCTGTTGCTCTTTCATTTCCAAAGTTTCAAATTTCCCTTTGGTGTCAGTTTTCTATTAATAATAATAGAAATATTATCATATTAAAAATATTTAAATATTATCATATTAAGAGGTCAAATAAGAAAACCCAGAGAGAGAAAGAAAGCAATGGTCATCACTTGCTGTGGGACGATACTTCCTCTGGACCAAGAGAAGAGCTCCCTCCCTGTAGTTTTGGGCGCCCGCCTAGCTGCCAGAGTCCCTGCCCCAGTGGGCTTGCCAAAGGGCTGGTGTGAGGGAGGAGGGAAGCTACAAACAGGATTTCCCTACTCTCTAACCTACGTGGCCCTCTTTGCCTTTCCTAAAGCAGGAGATAGAGAGCTTCTGTCTTTCCGTCTGCATCTGCTCTGCAGGTCCAGGTCTCTGTCTGCTAGGAGTCCAGGCCAGGAGAGACCAGAGAGGGGAAATGGCAAACTCAGGGCCAGTTTGGTGGTGCTCTGAGTTCTCCTGTCCCTCCCTCATGTTCCTGTTTACTCCTTCCCTTCATGACAACTGCATGTGGGGGAGGAGACAGAACCAGGATGGGTAGGACCAGAAGGAGAGATAGATTTGCCTTTAATAGACAGGGGTGTGGATTTACAAAGGTTGGAAAAGTCCTTCCCTGGGGCACACTAATTTAGGGAGAAATTCTCTTTTCTCCCACAGTGTGGTGGCTAAAAGCCTGATTCCTTGGTTTGAATTTTTGCGTTCACTTTTCTAGATGAAATTTAGAATCATTTTGTCGTTTAAAGAAATCTTATTTTGATGGAAATTTAAATTTGTAGATCTGAAGAGAGGTGATCTTTTTATAATATTGAGTCTTTCCATCTAGAACATGGTACACCTTCTCTTCCTAATTTCTTGTTTTGTGACCATCGAAGATTTTTAATTTTTTTTTACAAAATATTCGCTTTGTTTAAACTTATTTATTAATAAATTAATTTTTTTCTTAATTGGCTTTGTTTAAATTTATCCCTAAGTATTTTATTTTGTTACTATTGTGAATGGAATCTTTTTGACATAAAAAAATTGCATCTGTTATTGCTGACATACACAAGAGCCGTTGAGTTGGGCATATTTGTAAACAGCTACCTTAAGAATTTAAGAACTTTTATTAGTTCTATTATTTTCGGAGTTCATTTTCTTGACTTTTGGCAAATAGTGATTTGTGAATTCAGTCTCTCAGACTGGTTTCTACAAATAATAATTCAGAAACTCTCTTTGAAAAAATTTCTTGGAAATTTCTATTGCTGGTTTAACCACCTCCTTGGCCATTAAATCTTGTATAGCTTTAGGTCACAATTCATAATGACCAACTTACTCATCTTGATTCTGACTTTTTAAGGAAAGCCACTGATAAGATAGGTATATTTTATGATGTTAACGGAAGTATCTTTTTTAGTTTTTAAAAAGAACTTTGGGGGCGCCTGGGTGGCTCAGTGGGTTAAATCCTCTGCCTTCCGCTTGGGTCATGGTCCCAGGGTCCTGGGATGGAGCCCCGCATCGCATCGGGCTCCCTGCTCCGTGGGGAGCCTGCTTCCTCCTTTCTCTCTCTCTGCCTGCCTCTCTGCCTACTTGTGATCTCTGTCAAATAAATAAAATCTTTAAAAAAATAAATAAATAAAAAGAACCCTGATCACAAAAAACACTGAACTTTATCAAATGCTCTTTGAGCCTCCATAAAAATGACTATTGGGTTTTCCTATTTGGCATGTTAACGTGATAACATTTTGTTAATAGAACTCATCCCAAAAACGCCTGCATTTTCACAGTAAATCCTAGTTGGTCACAGAACCAACTGCGGAGCAGTAATTCACAAGGAAAGGCTTCTGCAAATGATCCAAGCTGCTGCTGCTTTGAATTCTGCCTGCAGTGGGGTTGTACCAGTCCCCTCCTCCCCGCACCCACAGGCCACATCTGTGCCATGAGCTGCTGTTGCTGGTGGCTGTGTCCTTCGTGTGCTGGACAGGAAAGGCAAGTGAGTGCTCAGTGTCTGAGACTTTGGCCCCAACTCTAATATCATGTCCTTGTCCACTGGAGCTGAGGATGCCTTTTGTCTCAACCTAAGACTTAAGCTTTACTAAAAGCAGACAGATGCTTCTTCCCCAAGATCCCACTCCAGTGATCTCTCTCTAATGAGACAGACATTCAAGCCCAGGAAAGACATCAAAGAAAAGTGTAACCGGACACCATTTCTTACTGAGCACCTGCTCTGGGCCAGCTCCAAGCCAGAGGCTTTACTTTACTTCATATGAAGTAAGCCAGTTACTTCACGTGACTTACCCCTGACACTCTGGAGGTACTCCTATCCCCAGTTTACAGAGGAGAGGTCAAGTAACTTGCCCCTGGATGTGGTTATTAAATTTCAGTGTTGTCCTTTAAAGCTCAGGTGTAGTTCCAAAGCTTGTGGAAACTGATCTGTAATTTCTCACTGGCCCTCAGGGATGGGTCATGAGGCAGAACTAGGGAAGGGGTTAATGCTGTCCTGTTGAGTCTCTGGCCTACCACAGTTCTGGTCTGGTCTCTTCCCTGGCCTGTGGGGACCTCAGGGCAGGATGCAGAGCTGCATGTGGCCAGCTACCAAAGTCCCGGAGCAGTGCCTCTCCCGCAGGGCTGGATTCCGCTTCCCGAAGCAGCCCAGGTAACACCTCACCTGAAGGAGCAGTTGGGAGAACCCAGCTATTTGTCATCACGAAAATTCATGGTGTGTTGACAGTATTTCTGCCTAGTGCTCTGAAAATTCAAGGAAAATACATATTTGACATTTACTGAGTACCAGAAGCTATTCTAAAAATTTTCTATGCATTAACTCATTTAATCATTAGAACATCCTTTTGAGGCAGGTACTATTATCCCCATTTTACATTTTCTCCCCTTAGAAAACTAAGGCACAAGAGGTCCATAGAAAGCAAGCCAGGATCTAAGCCTAGGCTCTTGACCACTGCACTGTATCAATGAAGTGAAGGCCAAATGAACTAGAACTAGAGGAGCTAGAACTCAGCGCTCTCACGTTGGAAAGACAGTGAGGTTCCCGCTCAGGGTCTGCATTCATGCACAAATGTCAAAATCAAGGAAGCCCTTGCCCAGGTATTCCATGGAAGGTTTCTGCCGCCCTGTAATCACCATAGGACACCTGCTTTCCCGTTAACAAGTACCACAGAAGAGGTTACAACGTGCGCCTTCCTCAAGTTCTAAAAGTGGGTAGAAACTCATGAGTTTCTTTTAGTGGTCACAGAAAATGTTCAAAAGTTAAGTGAGGTGTCCTAATGCGGTCAGTTTGTTATAAAAAGACTCTAGCCATCTGTACATGGATGAACCTTTCTCCAATTTTCTTTAAATATCAAAAGATAGTTCAGAACTTGGCAGTCTGAATGAAAATTTGGAATTGGAGCTGGACTTTCTATTATTTCCGCATCAGACTCAGTTCTAACTCTGCATCTTCCGCATGGCTTCCCTTCTGGACGGCAGCTTTCCTGGGACCCTGAGCATCTGAGGGCCTTCTGGCCCCTGGGGTACCCCTGCAGTGCCACAGTGAGAAGGAAAAGTCAGCAGCCCATCCAGACCAGGATCTGTACCCTGGATGTCCTGAGTTTCTAGCAGCGGACCCCTGGTCTTTCCCTGCCTATGGACACACTAACATCTGGAGACTGGGAAACCTTTATGGAAGTGAAAGGTTTTTTTTTTGTTTTTTTTTTTTTTAATGAGATTTTATTCAAGATAAACAAAGAACATATCATCAAATCAAACCATGCAAAGTCTTTTTACAGATATTTTATCAAGAAACTCACCAGTGAGAGTCCTCCAAACAGTGGCTATCCATGCCACATTTTTGCTTTTATGAAAGTGACAGGTAAATGAACTGCTACTAAGAATGTATCCCTTCAAGAGAAAGAGGGAGGTTCTGAAAGTCATCATCAGATCAGCACCAGAGCAGCAGAGGTTCAACTTGGGCCCCATGCCTCCGGAACAATTCGTGTCCAGAATCATCCCCAAAGGAAAGCTAATTTAAAGAACATTCTATGGGATGTTTTTACTGTACCTGTGGTCTATTTCTTTGGAAATCAATTGGTATTCTACCAAAGGAAATGCAGGCCTTTAGGTACTGGACTCCTCTGTTCCCCACACTGCTTGGGTAGTACTTCCTGAGCAACCAGCAACACAGTAGAGGGAAAAGAGCAACTTAGGGGCAAAGGAGAAACATGGAGGACACATGCATGCCATGTGTTAAGTAACAATAGTTAAATAAGGTATTGCCAAACCCCATTCTATGTGTCTTAATTCTTATTTATCCCAGATCAAATGTAAGTATGGAGACATTTTAATTGGTTCTTTTGTGTATCTAAATTCCTACCTGAAATCAATTCTTACAAACTGTTGGAGGCAAAGAGATGAATGCAAAATTTAAATGTAAATAATTCTTCGGTGAGAAGTGACTTTTGTAACTGCTTAGACATGATCAAAATATTATTTAAAAACCTTTCTTTCTAACCACCTAAATTAAATTAAATAGTTTTTTTTTAAGGCACAAATTCAAAGGTGGCAAAAGCACCATCAGGTGAGGATGGGGGACACCCCCCCCCCCACAAGGACACCAGAGAGCGGAGACAGAAGTAGGTGTTACGGCCAGGGTGAGACAGACACGGGCCTAGCTGGCAGCCTCTGCGTGCTGGGGGTCAACATGTCCGTGAGTGGGTTATGGGGAGATGTGGAGAGGCTTCCAGGCTTGGTACTGGGGAGCTCAGTGCAGTAGCTATTTACCAACCTGGAAGGAACTTCCCAGTATTTTCGCAACTGAAGCAGCTCCACCAGTGCAAACTGGCTGAACGCAAGCTCTGTGGGAAGCTTTCTAGAAGTGCAACTTGATCTGAAAACAGAGGAGACTGTGGGCACGCTCTTTTTCATTAGTTTATTATAAAAGCAAAACAATTCCCGGAGACACAAGACACAACATCCTAATCTCTAAATTCCTTTGTTTTTTGTTTCTACCTTGTGAGGCTAAATGCCCTTCATGACCACCCGACCTGCTCCATCCGCATTCAACCCTGTCTCCGGGCTCCCGCCGCACAGGTCAGAGGCTCCAGCAGCCTGTACCGTGGCCCGTGCCATGGAACCACTCTCTGAGGTGGCTGAGCCCTTCAAGGAAAAATTTCAAGAGATGCTAACCTATTCTAAATAAAGGTGAACAGGTTGTTTCTGCCCCTAAAATTAAATCCTGCATATCTAGTAGGCAAGCCTATGTCTTTCTATTACCACCTAACACTTAGAAGTGCGGCAGACTATTCCCCGACTTGCTAATTCTGGGATCACTTCTTGGGATCCAGACGAGTCAAAATAAATGGTGAGGAGATCTTCTAAAAAGCCCATGATGGCCCTTTTGGCTGTGTCGCTGGTCAGTGCCTGGATACTGCTTACGTGCTCCAGGGCCCTTCTGACCAGCTGGCCTCTTTCATGCGAGCTGTGGGGTGCTCCAGGGTCCTCTCCCTCTGCTCCTGATTTTAGAAACTGTAGGATAAATGACTGCACCATGTCCCCATTCAATTCAAGAGTTTCTCGGATGCAGGGCAGGTCGGAGGCGCTGGCCAAGCTCAGGAGGTGAATGAGTGCCTGGCAGATCTGGGTCCGTAGGCTGGCACAGTACTTGAATTCCAGAAAGTCTGTGGTGTCTTCACTCTTCTGTAAGGCAGTGACCAATGCGTTCCAGATCTGAGCATACTGGTCAACAGAGCCATAGTGCTCTCTCTTGCTCGGGATGGAAAGGGCAGTGGCGGATCTGATGCGCACTTTGAAATTCTTGCATGATGTTACAACCGATGTCAGGGCATTGTAGGCCTGGGAGGTCCATGGGGCTGTTCCTAGAAAGAACCCACTGGCACTGAAACCAACGAAGGCTTAGACATAAACGGGGGAGAGGGAGAGGGGCAGAGGAAGCACACACACTAGTGCTCAAGCTAATCACTATGTTTTCACTTAATTCTCACACTAACCATAGAGGATTAGGGTAACCAGTGGCATTACTGGGATAACCACAGGGTAACCAATGGGATAACTGTGGGATTCTGGGAAAGGTGCTGAGTATTGACTCCCAAACTTCCCATTTCCCTAAACAACCTGCTGCATGCTCAGGGCCTCTGCTACTTGCTACTTCAAATGGGGACTCTGGCAACCACAACAGAGGCTTCTTCTCTGGGAAGAGACTGTCCTGAGGGATTGGTGGGTGGAGTACAGACTGAATTATAGCCCTATTTGTTCTCTCAGTCAGGTGCTTCTGAGCAGTGCACACACTGCACAACTGTATGCACATCCTTGTTCATGCTGACAAAAGAGTATTTTATCACCCAGATTAGCATCCAGGCACGGCTCTGGACATAGCCGAGTCATGCATTTTATTGCATAGAGAAAGAAAATACTATCTAGGCAGTGACTGGGGAACAGAATACTCAGATTAACCAAAGGTACAACTGTCTTAATTTTGAGAAGATATTGCCCCGATTTCTGTCTTCTCTCCCTTCCTGATAGTCTCAGGAAGTTAGCCTGCTTTCTTCCTCCTCAGAGCTACCATACCACTCTCCACTCCCCCACTCCATTGTGAGGGTGTTCTTTTTCCTCGAGATGGGCAGCAGAATAGATTTCATCTTCCCTAACTCTCCTAGCTCCTCCCAACTTCTTCATTGCCTTTGAAGACAGGCAAGCAGACATCTACCTTAATGAGCTCTAACTCCACAGGTCACCCGAGCCTATTTCCTCCATGGAAAAGCCGAGAAGCTACTTCTCCATTAGCTCCCTTAAGTAAGTTTATTTATTTATTTAAGTAATCTCTACACCCAATGTGGAGCTTGAACTCACAATCCTGAAATCAAGAGTCACATGTTCTTCTGACTGTGCCAGCCAGGCACTCTCTGGGTGGGAGTTCTTGGTAATAAAGGGGAGCAGAGCCAGATTTCCCTAACATGATGCATGCTCTGCTGGTCCAGAATGGATTGACCTCCTCAGTAACACATCTTGTTTCAAACCTCGTCACAAAGACAAGTGTATAAGGCAAATGCTGGTAAGGAAAGTGAATGGGAATGTGGAAGCTACAACCCACACGCCTAAGCAGCTGTTAGCCGCCAATTCTCTAGCTCGGTACATGGCAGGTCACTCCTTAGATGCCCTCCTTCTATGCCGCAGCCAAGGGCTCACATGGGATTTCTGATTTTTACCCTTTCTTCCATGCCACTTTTTTTCCTTCTTTTTTACCCCTGTTGTTAAAACAACATATGCTCTTGTAAAAAATTTAGAAAGTGAAAGCAGAAAAAAAATTCTACTCATCATCCCCTCCAGAGGCAACCACTATCACTAATTAGACTAATTTCTACCCAGTCCTTTTTCTTTTTCTTTCTTTTTTTTTAAAAATATTTTACTTATTTCTTTGACAGACAGAGATCACAAGTAGGCAGAGAGGCAGGCAGAGAGAGAGGGGGAAGCAGGCTCCCCTCTGAGCAGAGAGCCTGATGCGGGACTCGATCCCAGGACCCTGAGATCATGACCTGAGCCGAAGGCAGAGGCTTTAACCCACTGAGCCACCCAGGCGCCCCCCCGCCCAGTCCTTTTTCTACCCATTTATTGAGATCATGCTATTGAAACAATTTCATAACCTGTTTTAATTTGCTTAACATCATACTTTCCCAGATTATCAAGAACATTTTGTAAACATAATTCTAAAAGATCCCTTTGAGGGGCGCCTGGGTGGCTCAGTCGGTTAAGTGTCTGCCTTTGGCTCAGGTCATGATCTTGGGGTCCTGGGATTGAGCCCTGAGTTGGACTCCCTGTGCAGTGGGTCAGCGGGGAGTCTGCATCTCTCTCCCCATCTCCCCTTCCTCTTTGCTTGTGCTCTATCTCAAATAAATAAAATATAAAAAAAAAAAACCCTTTGAATATATATACTATGATTTATCTCAACCATTCCCCTAAACTTGGGTGTTCAGAACATTTCCATTTTTTCCTGATACTGTGATAAGTACCAATGTAAGGAACATCATAAATAACAATACAGGCTGGTGTGTGTTGTCCTAGGGCCCTCCACCAGAGAGAAGAGGGAGACCTTCTTACCTAACGGAAGAGCAGGATTTTTAAATACATTCCCCATTGCATAACAGGCATTCCACCGGACTTTCATGGCAGCCTCAATTAGAACAGTAGAAATTAGGGCCTGGATGGCCTCCTCAATGATTTCAGCAAACCTGGGCTTTTCTATATGAGATGGCTGCAAAAAATGAAGCAAATTTCCAAGGGCCCGGACTGCATTGCTTTTTACCTAGAAAAAAATGTAAAAAAAAAAAAAAGAAAAGAAAAAGCATTAGAAATCTGCTTTGCCAAAGAGACGTTACAGAAAGTTTATTTTCAGCTTTAAAAAACCCAGGAAGTCTTAGTGCCAATGAGACAAGCAGACCATAAAGGTGTAGCTTCTTGGAACACTGTAAAGACCTAGTGTGGTGAACAGCCTGTGCCCCCGGAAAGGTGAGGTCCTCTACAGCTCCTCACCGGCATCTTTAGATTAGACTTCAGAGAGGTGTGTCTTCCTCGTTTTGCAAAGATGGCGTGGAAGACCCAGGGGCAACATGGCAAAGCTGGCTTGGAGCAAGGGGAGAAGAGGCGAGGTTTCAGAATTCCAATCCCATACTTTTGTATTTAAGAGTCTCAACCTTTGCAGCCTACTAGAATCATCTGGGGAGCTTTCTTTTTCAGAAACCAATTCCCAGGCCCAAAGTCCAGAAATTCTGAACAAACTAGTCCAAGGCAGGGCTCCCTAGGTTTTCAGAATCAGCATGCTCAATTAAGCACTTGGTATGGGTCAGGTGCTATGCTAGGTGCTTCAACACAAGCATCTCCGAGGCCGCTGAGGTAGAGGTCATGACTTCCATGTTCAAGATGAGGAAACTGACCTTCGGAGAAGTTCAGCAATACACCAAACATCACCCAGGTAGTCAAGGGCAAGCCACGATTTGAACCATGTCTGCCTGACCCTAAAACCCATTTCTATGCTTTCAACTTACTAGTCTAACAGGAGCTATTCAAAACCAAGAGTTGCTCATCCTTCTGACTTACCACTTCCACTTCAAAGATTTTTTTGGAAAAACAAAACAAAACAAAGGCAGATTAATATTAAAGTGAACGAAAACAGATTACAAGTGGTATTACAAACAGCACTGATGTTTTTCAGGACACAGGAAGACAGGAGAGAAACACATCATACCCTGAGTACTCTCTCAATCTCCTCTGAACAGGGACAGATTCGGTGGAACAAGATCATAATACACTAGTATCTACCTGAGAAATACCAGTGCTGTGATTCTACCTTGTCTTTATCCCTGGATGCTTCTATCGCTGATCGCAACATCTTTAGGAGCAGGAGACCAGAGAACTCTTCCTGGAAGCTGGGGTCTGGTGTCTCCCTATTCCATCCAAAGCAGGCAAAACATGTTGAAAGGCAAAACCCAGTTGAATATACACATATACACATACACTCACTTAGTACAACTATAAAAAAAATTTGGGAAAACAGCTCAACAAATCTGTTCAGATTATATCAAGAACTTCGAGTTTATACCCTTTGCCTCAGTGGGTCTACATCTAGGTACGCGACCAAAAGGTGTATCTCAGAATAAAGATTTCATGCACAAAAATGTTCACTGCATATCAAAGCCTAAAATAATGCAGATGTTCAGCAGCAGGGCAGTGGTTAAATAACCACTGCCCACTGATGACTGTGTAATAGTAATTCACATTTCTAAAGCTGGAAGAATGCTCACACACGTTCTGAGAGAGCGCTCAGCAATGAAGAGCAGGACGCTGGCGTATGAGGAGCAACCGCTGCCTCCAGGGAGGGGAGCAAGGTAGGAACAAGGCTTTATACTGAACACCTCCTTAGCATCATTTGGATTTTTTTTAACCTGTGAAAATATTGCTTTAAAAAATTACAAATTTGACATTTAAAAAGTAGTGCAGCAACTACTATGGTTCTGCACTTCTACTTCTGTATTTTCCATAATGTGGATACATAACTTGTATCAGAGACAGTATTAAATAGACACACACACACACACACACACACACAGAGAACAGCTTGCTGATCTTTTTTGGGGTGTGGAGAAAGGGAGAGGGAGAGAGAGAATCCTAAGCAGAGAAAGAATCCTAAGTAGACTCCACACCCACATGGAGTCTGATATGGAGCTCCATCCCACGATGCTGAGCTCAAGACCTGAGGTGAAATTAAGAGTCAGATGCTTAACCGACTGAGCCACCCAGCTGCTCCACAACTTTCTACTCTTAATACTTGAAGGAATATAAAAACAAAACAGGAAGACTGACTACACAATATGGGAGAATTACTGTTGGGTGTTTTTTTTTTTTTAATAGTAGTGATCAAAGATATCCTCCTGGGTCCTCAGCCTCAGAAGTCACGCACAGGAAATGAGCTGAGTCACCTACATGTTGACAATCAGAGTATCTGTCAGGTTGCCCAGGGACCAGGCTGCTTTGGCCCGGACATTCAGAGATTTGTCTTGAAGTGACATCAATATTGCATTTGCTGTGTCTGCAACAAAGATGACATCCTAGAAGATAAAATGAAACACTGCAGTTATTTTACAAGCTCACACAGCTGCCTTGAAATTCTGAAATTTATTTTCAGAGAAAGATTTATTTATTTACCACAAGTTTCCACTTGAAAATCAACATGTATTTACTCAATTTGCTGCTCTACTGTATTACAATTTGGACCCTCACTCAAACCCCAGGGGACGGTCTTCCATGATTTTGGTATATGCCATGCACACCCAAGGAGCCTGCGGATTTTGCCTTGTCGAACATTTTATAACCTGGTCCATGACAGTTATCAATGAATTCTGTGCTTAGACTGATTTCCACCTTGGGAAATGATGTTGACAATGAAATGCATTTCTGGAAACACGCCCTATTCATTACACACTTCTCAGGGAGATAAATGTCATGGGTAAGACTGAAAGAGAAATTTATTTCCTTCTTAGTAACAATTTTATCAGCTTTCTAAGTTATTACTATCACACGATAATGTCCCATTTCTTTTTTTTTTTTTTCAATTTTTCATTAATGTAAACATTACCTGGGCATTGAGGGCCCTGGGCAGTACAGGCATTACTATATTTTAGCAACAATTAAGGAAACCAGATTTAAAGCAATGTTACGTCTTTTACTGTCCAGCTCTCTATCTACCCAAACCATGAGCGCGCTGGCCCATCACAGGCACTGAAGGGCAGTGCGGGCTCACACTGACCTGTCTGAGACAGGGGAAAAGCACATAGACTCCAAGGGCCCGTGAGGTCGCCGCTTTCACTAATCGGTTCTTGCTGTCGTTCAGCCCGAGCAGCATGGTGAGGCACAGGATCTGCCTGTCACTCTGCAGTGAGAAAGGTTGGCAAAGGGATAGTGAGCCTGAAAGAACTAGAAACCACTGTACTCGACAGGTGACTGTGACGCGTCTGTGTCTGAGTTCATATTTGGGAGCAGAACACAACTGAGACCTGGAAGCTACCTTGGCAGAGAGCAGAGGTTCACTTCGGACCCATCAGGGGAGTGTCTGCACACAGAGCATCTGTGACCTTTAACCTTTACCACTGTGTGAACTCGGTCACTGTATTCTGCTCCTTCATGAAAGCTAAGAGCAGACACAAATGTCACTGGGGACTAAAGAAGGGGAGCCTCCTAGATACCCTTTGTGGTGGGCACCAGCCAAGTACAGTCACATACTTCACGTTATTCCTCACGTAGTGCCCATTTTATAGATGATAAAATCAGTTTTACAGAAGTTAAGATCATCAGAGAGGTGGAGAGTGGAAGAGCTGGGACTTATACCCAGGTCTTCCTAACTTCCGGCTTCGAACGCTTTCTGAAATGTCTCTGACTTCCGAGCCTCTCCCCCTACTTCCACCACCCACCCTCTAAAGCGCAGGGAGGAAACGCTCTCCCGAGATGTTAAGATTTTAAATTTTGCCCCCGCCCTCGCTCCACACTCAAGAAGACTGAGCCCCCTTTTCTCCGAGAGCATGATGAATACTGGCTCAAAATGAACAAGAATCTGAATCAAACTAAAGCTCTGATGCTCGAGGGGGCTGCTTGGGGCTGAGGAAACACTCCTCCGGTTACCGGCAGGCTGCTGAAGGCTTCGGGCAGGATGGAAGACAGGGCATCGCAGGCGCTCGCCTGCAGAGTCGGGTGCTCGGAATTCTGCAGGGCTCTGGGCAGAGGGCCGTTCAGCATCATAGTCCAGAACGTCACCACCTGGAACAGGGGCACAGTCAAAACCGTGGCCCAAGAGCCAACAGTGGAACCAGCTCGACGCGAACACTACCACAAGGGGCCACAGTAACGAAACATCCTTCTATAAAGCAGCGGCTTTCTCTAAGGCTTCCGCTATTCCTTCCACAGCAATGGAAGGGGCTTCAGAAAATGACAACTTCATCCTTCCACTTTACTGACCAGGGACCGGTCTGCTATAGTAAGGCGACCGGAGAAGACAATCGGGAGGAGGAGGGGGAAGACAATGGTGGTAAAAGCAGCAGCTGCCCGCACCTCGAGTCTTCCACAGTGCGTCTCACATGCCAGACGCTGCTCTCAGTGCCTACACACTGCAGTCCTCAGCACAACTAAATGAAGTATGTGTCATTATCTCCACTTTCACACAAGGAAACTGAGGCACGAAGACATGGTGTAACATGCTAGTGGGCGTCAGAGCCCAGAGCCCAGAGGCCGGTGCGGGAGTCCAAACAGCGTGGGATCCAGAGGCAGACCTGACCTGGATCCTTCAGCGGCCGCTTCCCATCTCTGCAACCTCGGGCAAGTCACCAAACCCGCCTAAGTGTCGGCTCCTCTTCAGAAGAACAGGGCAAAGCTGTCTACTTGGTAGAGTCGGGGCAAGAGTAAGACGTAATGCTGGGTGTGAAGTCCCTCACACATGCCCAGTGCGTAATGGAGACTTAAACTGAGCAGGGGGCTGCTGTGAGCACAAGGAAGAATGAGCTCACTTTGAAGCTCTCCAGGTAGGCACCCGCAGAGTACCTTGAACAGCTTCCTTCCCCTGCTCATGAAATCCCAGGGATTTCATGTCATTTGCAAATCTGTCTGTGGCTTGGTACCTCTTTCTGCCCCACGGATTTAGTCCCGAGATCCATCATGTATCCCACAGCCCAGTTCTGTCCTCCCCTAAATCCCAGCTCCTAGAAACCCAATCTGGGCCTCTCCCACCCCAAATGAAAGACTGCGGACAGGTATGCTTGCCAGCCTCCAAGATGGCCCATAGTGATTCTCGCCTCCTACATTAAGGAGGTGGCCCTCCGTTCCCACACTGGCTGGGGCTGACCTGTGTATCCAGTAACGGGCTGTGGAAATGACAGTGTGAGATTTCCAAAGTGAGGTCATAAAAATGCCACAGCTTCTGTCTTGTTCTCTCTTGATTCTCTTGCTGTGGGGGAAGCCAGCCACTGCATCTAGGGGACACTCATGCAGCCCTCTGGAGGGGTCCTCGTGGGGAGGGAAGAGGCCCACTGCCAAAAGCCAGCGCTAACTTGCTAGGTATGTGAGTGAGCCATGATGGAAGAAGATCCTCAAACCCCTGTCAAGTTCAGTTAACGGCAGCCCCTGCTGGCTTCCTGACTGCAACCTCAGAGAGACCTGAGCTAAGCCGCTCCCAATTCTTGTGCCAAAGAAACTATGTGAGAGAATGTATATTGTTTTAAGCTGCTAAGTGTTTTAGATAATTTACTACCAGCAACTGACTAGTAATATAGCAAGTGTATCCCTTTCATACAGATGAAACAACACCCAAGTGTGAACAGATGAGTCTTGCCTAAAAGTCACCGACAAGCAGGGGGAGAAGACTGGGTGCAAACTCAGGTCTGTCTGAGCAAAATAACTCATCTCCCCGTGAATGGTGACATTTCAGCTTTAGTGGCAGTCTTGGGAAAGAACTAGGGCTAGGTATTAATTTCTTGCAAGGATGATGGAAATTGCAAAGGGAAAAGAAGAGGCAGGTTGAGGAGGACAGGAGAAAAACCCATCACTTTTGGTAGGGTCATATGTTCCTCACTGGCACAGTGTGGGGACAGCAGAAACAACTAAGATCTCAGATCTTTAATGGGAACCACAGGGGCATGGTGGTGAGGGAGTTAAGGGAATGGACATCTGTTGAGCACCTACTATGCGCCAGCACCTTTACATTTCAATCTTCCAATAGCCCCAGGAGTTAAAGATCACTATTCCTCCTTATGAGGAAACTGTGCGTGTACATCCATGAATGGTGCTTCCTCGATTTGACCTCCTGTCTTCTGATTCCAAATGCCTGGCTCTTCCCATCATTCCAGTCTGCCTCTTGGGCAGGATGAATAACCAAACTAGGTTTTATGTGGAAGAAATGCTACTTCAGTTGCTGGCTGTATGTTACACATAATGTGACCACACAATGAACTGCAAAGAAACCAAAGCGCAAATAAATCCTATTCGTGGTAGTATCATGTCACCACAGATTATAAACTAGTTTTTGACACTAGAAGAAGCCATATCATTTACTTTACTTCATTAATGAACCTCAAAACTGACTGAAGCACTTTTAAGAAAAGACAAAGCCGTGAACTGAGACGTACTCACCACGGTGACTGGTGCTCTCTGATCAGACGGCACGGTAGAGTCCGGTTTATACTGTTGAATTAAGCCTGTGCCCAGCTCTTCCAAAAGCTGCCAAGGTAAAGGAAACAGATGATCAAAGCCCAGTATGAGAATTACGGAGGTAGAAAACCTCACTTGTTTGGAGATGACCTCAAATCAAGGGGAAAAATCATTTCCAACTGAATTTTCTCTCCTTTCTCAGCAACTCCTATGCGAGAAGTATGCTTTCAGGAACAGAATCACCAGAAATATATGGTAAATTTATTACCAAATGAATTCTTTGGGTTTCTGCATTAGATTAGAGCTGCAAATAAAAGAATGTATGATTTTCCCTACCTGAAACCTCCCTCCAAAAGAAACCTCAGAATGGACAGACATGCAGCAGAGGGAAGAACATAAAGGAAGAGAAGAAAAAAGCAGGTGGCTTTTCATGAAAGTTACCTTTGCTCCATGAAGCTGAATGGACGCATCTGCTTCCCCCATGCACTTGCAAATCACCTCTCCAAGCTCCATCAAGTACACTTGAGCCATTGAAAAGTAACCTCTGGCCAGATGAGCCAACACCTGCAAAGAGAAGGGACAAATAACCCCCAAGACCTGAATGCAGTGCGGGGCTGCAATATCCAGATGCGTGCTCTAACATTACAGAAGTCGCTCACACCTAACACGGGGCAGGACTCTAATGCTGAAGGAAATGAACAACCGCAATCTGTATTTTATGACTGAAATCAATTAACGGTATCATATAATTTCAGGGTGCTTTATAATTTATGAAATGTGTTTCACTAAGATCGGCGATATTATTTACGCCTGGGAACAATTTGCTGAGGCTGGGACTCGTGGAATACTTCAGCTGAAGGAGGGAGCTAAGGCTGAAAAAGTTGGAAGCTTCCATGTTTCATATCAAACCAGACAACTAGCAGCAGAGCGCAGAACCACTCATGTCTAAGATCACAGCTGAGTACAGAAGAAGGAAGTATGTTAACCTAGGCTTGTTTTCTTCCTTTGAAGGAGCAATTATTTTGTTGTCTCTAAGCAGACGGAAGATGAAAGAGAAGTTACGGAGAACTGCACATTTACTTCAAGTTGCAGAAATCAGAGACGAACTGTACAATTTCTTTCAGAATTACTATATAATCTAGCGTTCCCACCTGTCACATAATGGAGGTGACTAAAATGGCTTGCAACAGAAAGGCAGATATCTGACATTTACACCAAGTCTTCTCCCAGCCTCGGCCAAAAACAAAACGACAGAGCTCTCACACCTAAAATGCAACTCCCAGTAACACCACTGGCCCGTGGCTCGGTTTTCCATTACTTTCATGGACTTGCTCCCCACAACCCATCACCCTTTGAAGGCAGAACGATTTCTTCCATTTCAGAAACAAGGAGCCAGAACCTCCTACCTGTAAGGCCTCCAGCCGCATGGGGGATGGTTCGTAAGTGCTTCCTCCTGCAGAGCCAGCATCGCTACCCGAACAGGAATCCTCCTTGGGCAGCACAACAGTGGAAATGCAGAGTCGGATGAGCCAGCAGGGCTCTGAAGACCCCCTTGGGGAGCTAACTGATGCTTCCTCCAGAAAGGGTCCTGGGGGGGCTTTCTTGCACCGATCAGGAGTGCCGAGGTGGGGAGTCACTGAATTGCTACTGCTGAGTCCGGAAGAACAGGGCTGTTGTAAGAGCAACTGGACTTCAGGTAAAGGTGCGTGAGTGGACACGATGGCTCCCAAGAGAGTGAGGCTTGACACGCGAACATTCACATCTGTCAAAGTTAGCGGGAATCACTATCACTGTGGGATCACAATTACCCCCGCAGGCAATGAAGAATTAGGGCATCCTTGGTTAACCTGCATCTAATTAAACCTCTAGCCCTAACTTCCGGTTTAGAGAACTACACGGGACAGAAACAGTAGTTCAACAACACTGTAAAGAAACTATCTGGCAGTAGGGTGGTTGGGTGATGGACACTGGGGAGGGTATGTGCTACGGTGAGTGCTGTGAACTGTGTAAGCCTGATGATTCACAGACCTGTACCCCTGGGGCAAATAATACATTATATGTTAATAAAAAAAATATATGTGTGTATATATATATATATACATATATATATATATATATGTATATATATAAAGAATTCAGAAAAAAAAAACTATCTGGCAAACTGAGCATGTGAAACGTGCTGGGAGACAACTGTCTGGGACTCATCCATAAATCAGCGTGGCGAAAGAAAGAAAAGGCTGATGGACCGCTCTAGATTAGAAGCCACTAGAGTGACAGGATAACGACATGCAGTGCACGAACCCAGAATGAACCCAAGTTCTCACAAAAAACGAGGAAAGATTCTTTGAGACGTGGGGAAATTTGAAGGTGGATTAGATATAAGACGATACTATGGAATCAATGTAATTTTCTTAGGTGTGAGAATAGTGGTGTGTTTTTTAGGAGACTGTCTTTACTCTTAAAAGATGCGTGCTAAGGTATTGAGGATGAAATATCATGTCTGTAATTGACTTTTTAGAAATTGTTTTTTAAAAATTTTTATTTATTTGAGACAGTGAGAACATGTGCAGGAGGAGGGGCAAAGGGAGAGGGAGAAGCAGGATCCCCGCTGAGTGGGGAGCCCGAAGTGGGGTTCGATGCCAGGACTCTAAGATCATGACCTGAGCCACCAGCAGACACTTAACCAACTGAGTCACCCAGGCACTCCTGTAACAGACCTTCAAATGGTTCAGAAATATACATATTTATACGCACACATGTATATTCACATACACAGATATACATGCGCGGAAACAAAGCCAACATGACAAACGTTACCAATGATTAAGTCTAGGGAGAGGTACGCAGATGTCCATTGCACTATTCTTTCAAATTTCTGTGGGTTTGACCATTTTAATAGTAAAAATGCTGGAGGACAAAGCCAGACGCTTGTCCCCTCAGTCTGCAGATGAAGAAGAGCTGGAGCAGGGGAACGGGCAGGGCACTGAGCCCAAGCACTCGGGTTGTTTCAGTCTTACTTCTGCCACTAATGTGATGAGAGACTCCAAGGCAGGATTTATCTTTCTGGGTCCCGTTTTACACACTGGCGAAAGAAGTGAATTGGACTTAGTTTACACATCATGATCTCATTTAAGCCTTATAAAAATCTCATGAGGTGAGTCTACTTCTTCCTGTTCGGGGGAAAGGAGGCTCTGACAGGGCTGCAATTCTGAGATGGCAGCAGTGGGACGGGGCTGCAGACCCTCAGCCTGACTCCAGGTCCACCAGCCCTCCCATGACGTCACAGAAACATCTGCCACCTCCTTCAAGTACTAGAAGTCAACACTGAACAACTTCACGTACCAGAATGCGTCTGATCCTAAAGCTTACAATCAAAAGAAAAACAACTGTTCTCTAGGCAAGTGTTCTAGCACATGTGCATTATGGGTGGGAATAAGTCAGGAAACAGCAAGAAATAGGACTGTAGCCAGTGGGGATTTGAGGCTCTGGAATTTTATCCAAACCTCAGAGGAGATAATGCTAAGGAAGTTAGGTTTTATATTCCAGTTTTTCTTTCCAAAAAGAGGATGATGTCTATGTGACTCTCCATCCATCCTTACTACTGGGGCTTTAGGGTCCAAAGTGGGTTCTAGTTCTAGCAAACCAAAGTGGTTTCCCCAAAAACTTGAGAATAAGTAGAGATATCTTAGAGCTATAAATCTGCTCTACTTTTAAAAATAATAATTTAGATTTGATTGATATAAAAAAGCAATTGACTTTAAACTACCACCAACCTTTGTGGCGAATATAAGGCTTTATCTGGTTCCAGACTTTGGTCAACAGGCTGAGTTTCAGACGGTTATATGGTGAATTTGATACTAAATTTGCAAGGCACTGCAAAATACAAGAATAGCCCATCAATCGGTCTGATTAAGCCACAGCACAGACACGAACTTTATAGCATTTAATTAAAAAAGAAAAGTCTTCATAGTCATTTGAAAATCAGTCTTTTTCTTTTTTGTTCTTTTTTTAGGGGAATAGCATTTGTATTCTCATTGGTACAACTAATTCTAAAAATAGGAGTATTTTTAGTAAATCATTTACTTGGACATACAGAAATTGTAGGTCAGATCAAATAAGTGGCACAACAGTATAGCTTTAAATAAAATCACCAGTTAGACTTCCAAATAAGATATCATTAAATAAAATTAGTACTTAGTTATATTCTTAAGTCAAATTACTTTTGGACAATGTAAAACATACAGAATTGAAACAAGACAAAACCCCTCCAGAACCTATGGATAACTTGGCACGCTGACCTTAATTATTTGAGTAAGGGTCTGTGAGGACGACTCGGCCACCAGCGCTAACAGAAGACATCGGTGCAATTCTCTAATGCTGGATGCAATCATCACAGAGAAGGGAGTGAAAGCCCTTCGATGGTCACTGGTATCTTCAGCAACAGAAAGAAACTGCTTTGAGCCTTCCAAGATGGCAGATAGAACTTGCAGAGCACAGGCACGTGTCTGAAATTTCAGGATGATTCCCATCAGTTAGTTAATAATCAGGAGTCAAATCCCCTTCTTGGGGCACCTGGGTGGCTCAGTGGGTTAAAGCCTCTGCCTTCAGCTCAGGTTATGATCCCAGGGTCCTGGGATGGAGCCCCACATCCGGCTCTCTGCTCAGTGGGGAGTCAGCTTCCTCCTCTCTCTCTGCCTGCCTCTCTGCCTATTTGTGATCTTTGTCTGTCAAATAAATAAAATCTTTTTTTAAAAAATCCCCTTCTTCCTATTTTTGTTTTTAATTTTGGAAGTATTGTGGATCATTTTAATTAGGAAAATAAAGGCATTGGGATTATCTATCAGGTCCTAAAAGTAGCCATGAACTAGGCCCCTTGCACCTCCACTTTAAAAAGAGCCTTACATCACACTGCTGTTAGGTTTTCTTAGAGTAAGAAACGAGTCTAAGCTACACAACCGTACAAAAACCTGAAATCATGAACATGAGAATAACTTAAAGAAAAATTAGAGGCCTGGTTTATTCGAGTACAAGACCAAGGGAAAAGAAAGTGAACTAGCTCATGGGGCAGAAATAAAATACATGAGTTTAGAGTCCGTGTTACATCAAACATGCTGCTATATATACTCTCCTGAAGCATCCGTGAGTGCTCTAAGTTAATTAAACAGGATATTAGAGACTCTGCACATTCAACTTGGCAGGCATCATTCGTGATCCAATTTTTCAGAAACACTCAAGGTACAGAAACGAACACTGCTTGTAGTGAGCCTTTGTTAATCAAAGAAAGGAAAACCATTAACTGTAGCCTGACAGATGGAAATTAAAGTATGTGCCCTTTTGCCAATGGCCAGCTGCACTTGTTGGAAGATTCACTGCGGCAAGCTTGTGTTTCTAATGCTAAATATGACTTTCACTTGGTACTGAAACTAGGGAAAGGAAAAAAAAAAAAAAAGAAATAAAAAGAAAGCCAATTTAAACGAAATGGAATATAGGTGATAAATGTAGGACTAATAATGTAATACTGTACCCTCTTTGGCCAGTCCCCCAAAATACCAAACACTGTCAGATAATTTTAAAATGGAGACTCAACATTATAATTCGAATCTAGGGGCACCTGGGTGGTTCAGCTGGTTAAGTGTCTGCCTTTGGCTCAGGTCATGATCCCAGGGTCCTGGGACTGAGCCCCACATTGGGCTCGCTGCTCAGCAGGGAGCCTGCTTCTCCTGCTGCCCCCACACCCACTCGTGCTTGCTCTCTCACTCTCTCTCCCTCTCAAATAAATAAAATCTTAAAAAAAATAATAATTCTAATCTAAGTATTTGCTCATCATGAAGTATACCTGAGTTTGGTGTGAAAAGGTTTTCCAGAAAATCTGCAACTGTATCATCTCTGGGTAACAATGAATAAATCATTTTTGCATGCCTCATATAGAGTGGACTCACAAAAAAAACTGAAAATTTATTGCTTTGAAAATAAATGTGTAGTAGAGCAATATGAGTCTTTGGAATTAAACACAATCACTGAATTTAGGAAGATGACAGTGTATTAGGAAACTGTGTGTGTGAGAGATCGCTCGTGAGAAAGAACTCATGCACACGTCACAAGTCTGCTCATCCAAGAAAGAACTAGATCAGGCGCTGGAAAACTTTTTCTGCGAAGGCCCAGCAGCACACACTTTACAGTTTAGACTTTGTAGGCCCAAGAGTCTCTGTTGCAACCCCCCAGCCATAGCAGCACAGACACTAAAGATTAAATAGGAATGTGTTCCAATAAAGTTTTACTTATAGACAATAAAATCTGAATTTCATTTAGTATTTACAGTCATGAAATATCATTTAAAATAAAAAAAAATTTTAAAGCATAAAACTATTCTCAGTTCATGCATCATCTAAAAACATACTTTGCCAACCTCTGAGTAGATGGCTGGTCTGAACTGAAAAATGTAGATGTTATGCTAAACCTCTGTTCCTTTAGATAGTAATTAAAAACCGTGATTCCAACAGCTCACAAACAAACTATAATGAAAGACCAAGTTGTGGAGAGCAATGAACTGATGTTCAAAAGTTAAAAAATTTTAGCTCAATTAACTTTGGTACCCTATAAGGGAAAAAGTATCCATGACCATCAACAGATGAAAACAAAAGTAATGTCACTGAAACATATCACTGAGATATAAACTCTGTATAAAAAATTGATGCTATATCAAATTATACTTCTCATAGTTCTGATTTAATTTCCTTTAAACCCCGCTTAACATATCTTTGTTGCTAAAAAATTCTACTTATGACACTGAGTTGTTCAAGTTCTGCATCACTGACTCTTACATCAATATTTAATAAACTGTTGACCAGTTCTGATCAGCACTTCCATCAGAAATTACTGATGTGCAAGCAAACTGTAAGAGGTGCAGCTCTCCAGAGAACTCCTTTTGTTAACTTTTTATTATCTGAGTGTTTACAATGATGGATGAAGACTTTTCAGTCAGATAAGCATCAGTGTGCTCCGTTTCACCAGTGGGCAGTTTCACTTCCTTGGACACGCAGTCTTGTTCAAAGGTAATGATACTGCCCTTTCCCTATCTTGCTACCTACAGATGCAGCAGAAATGTTTGCTATGGTAGCTCAATCAATCCTTCTGTTTTCTTTTTTTTTTTTAATTAAATTTATTTATTTAAATTCAATTAATTAACATATAGTAGATTGTTTCAGGGTTACAGGTCTGTGGTTCATCAGTCTGATATAATACCCAGTGCTCATTACAACACATACTGCCTCCAATGTCTTACCCTGTTACCGCATCCCCCCAGGCCTCTTGCCTCCAGCAACCGTCAGTTTGTTTCCTGATTCTCTTATGTTCTCTTAAGTTTGTTTAAGTTTAAGTGAAAGTTCTCTTAAGTTTGTTTCTCTTATGGTTTGTCTCCTTCTCTGGTTTCATGTTGTTTCATTTTTTCCTCTTCCCCTATGATCCTCTGCCTTGTTTCTTAAACCCCACATATCCTTTTTTTATGTTTGTTTGGTCAAAATCTTTCTGGGAAGGTGATAAAGAAGTCACTGCTGGGAGTGGGTAGCAGGGAGGTTTCGATGCACGTGGCTGTTCCCTTCTTTGGCTTTGTCCCAGGACTGATTATTCTGCACAGTTGGTCAAGGTTACTTTTATTTGATTGCATTCCCAAAGTTGGCTGCCTTTAGGGTGGAGGCATTTGAACACAGTGTCAGGGTCTCTAGATCTGGAGATACCCAAGCCAAGGTCATCTGTATCTTGGTTGGCCTTATAAGGAAAACCTACCAGTCTGTAATAGTTAAATACTGGGTTTATTCTCTTTCCTAGGTACGCTAACTATTACTTTAGAGTTTGATTCGTTTCTACATTTCACAGTTCTCCAAAAGAGAAATAAATGAACATCATGGAATTTCAAAATCAGAATAATTCTCAATGTACCAAGAAGAAAGTATACCCCATAGTTTGTTCCTTAGATCAAGTCTGGATAATAATCTACCTTTTTAACACCCAAGCAATTTATATAGAAGACATCTGTACATCAGTCATGGTATTTGCACTGCTGATTTGCTCTGTGCTGCCTGGAGACACACAGGCTGTGCTTTCTGAAGCACATCTGGCCGGCTACTTGCTCCACAGCCCCATCTCCTCCTCGGCTACTGCCAGCAGCTCTCCTCAGCCGGAGGCTCTTCCAATATCCGTATTTTCATCCTTTATGGTAGTTTTCCTTTCAAATACTAGAATGGCTTCCTTACTCACTTATTTGCCACCATTCATTCCCATTTTCCTCCCAGCTTCTCCTTTGCTACTGATTCAGTCAATCTGAAAAATTACTGCTGCTTTTAACTGTTCGAGATATCGGGTGTTTGCAACTTTTTGTGTGTATAACTGAGGCCCATTTATTTTTCTTCACCCTGTAAGAGCTTTTGAAGGGTCACCTAGAAGTTTTCTCATCATAAACATTCTTCTAAGCTTTGCACATCCTTCATAACCCCACTATGGACCAAAATATTCCACTGAGTGTTTAAGCCCTTTTATTTTTCTTATTTTCTCACTTTTACTTTTTATTACAAATACCATGGCAATCAACATTTTCACCAAAGGGAAGAAAGCACAGCTGCTTCAGTGCAGCTCAGAAGGGACACTGAAGTTCTAACCCTCACTGTGCTCAGGCTTGAAACGAGCCCTGGGCAGCAGGCAACCTCACTGTGCTCTTTCTCAACCTGTTAGTCACATAAGCCACTTCCTATCCTCCTGCCTGTCCAGTGGTTTGCAAGTCGGAACCTGGGTTGGTATTAGTGAGAGCTGTATTCAGATGAGATCAGGTAAGGCAGAGAAAACAATAAAGATGTGTAAAGTTCTTCTTCCTGGCATCACGTGAGAATTTAAATGCTCTTACCTTCGGAGAAGGATCTTTTAATGTAAGAGTCATCAAGGACACGGACTGAGGGCTGCCAAGCTCAGGTGTATCGGGAACAAAGGCTGACCAGTAGCCATAAAGAACTTTTTTTTCTATAGATTTTATAGTAGAAAGAAAACAAGCTAATGCTCCTTGGCGAACTTTGGCTTGGTAAGACCTATCCAAAAGAAGGAAGACCAAGTCTTTTAGTAGTTTTAAAAAAAATATAGACATGAAAGTCTGTTTATTTTAGCCAACTCAAATGATATTCAACATTCTGAATAAACCCTAAGGTAAAGATGCCAACGTGATATTAAAACAAATATTTTTCCATCAAAACATGTTAAAGCAATTTGTTTACATAACAAGTTAAAAAGTTGACAATATAAAACAACTAGACAGAAAATAAAAGGGCAACAGTTTGACATCAGGAAACTGGTGTTAGATATGCAACACTGCAGAGTATCCATTCATCCAGCAAACTCACCCAGAGTACATAAGTACGCGCCAGGCATTGGGCTGAGGCCGACAGACATGAAGCCCGTCCGTGCCCCCCACAAGCTCACGAGGGACAGAGACAGACAGTTAAGGAGATAACTGCAACACAGCATGATCAACCCTAAGGCGGGAATAAGCCCACAAAGTAGGGACCTAAGCCAGAATTCGGGGGGGGGGGGGCATCAGAAAAGGCTTCTCAGAGGACATGATTGCTGAGCTCGTACTGAAGAGGAGCAGTGGTTAACACGGCAAGGAGACAGACAGAGGGAGAGGAAATTCCAGGCAGAGGAACCACATGTATAAAGGCCCGCACAAATGAATCTTCAAGTTCAATCCCGTCTGTCAGTCAGCTTTTTAAGCAAAGTTATACATTTACAAGCAATGGAGATTATAAGGCGTAACAACATAACAAAATACTACTACCTCATTTTACTCGGCATGCCTCCCTCTGCGTCGGAGTAGTCAGACTCACTACTGCTGACCCTTTTCCAGCTGGCAGAACGGATGGGCGGGGAGAACAGGTCTTTCCCTGCAGCGCCATCTCCCTCTACGGGCAAACTCTGGCCTCCCAGGGTCGAGGAAGAGGGAGTGTTCCCCTCACGCAGGAGCTCTCTGCCTGAGCCAGCGACGGGGGCTACCCCTCTTTCACCACTGGATTCTTCCTCTTCCTCTTCTTCTTGCTGGATTTTCTTCGATTTGACTTTTGATTTTTTCTTTTTATTCTGATTGTAGGAGCAAATGAACACGTATATATGATGGCTACTGGTACCCTTCTCATTTAATAATTACTAAATATGTCCCCAAAATGTAGTATGAGGAAAGAAGAAAAGAGAAGAGAAGAAAGTGGCACTTCCTACTCTGGGTGTCTGGGGCTATGCTAAGGGCTTACACACACTCCACTGGACCACGGGAAACAAGGCAGGAAGTGTGTGCAACAGAGCCACGCTTGGAGCCCAGCTTTATATTCTACCCCCGTGACTCTAAGCAAATCACTTTGCCTTCCACTAGTTCGACCTTCCTCATCTGTAACGCCACCTTCCCTGCACAGTTGTGAACGCATTCAACCGCAAGGGAATGCGATTACAGAAAACGACTTGGGTGACAATTTTCTCCGTTCTCCCAGATAAGACACGTAGCTAGCACCACTCCAGATGTAGAAGAGAAATGTTAGCCCACCACATACAATGCATGTTTTAGGGCACTGGGGCTTTGTAGGTATGAAGTAAAAGCCAGTTTTCTCCCTTTCTCCTACTTTTTTCCAAATGTCTTTGGAATATGTGCCACCCTTTGCATTCTCAAGGTCCCTGACTTTGAGGAAGGAAGGTCCTCGTCCCTTCTATTTCGGATTATTAATGTGGCTCCAGACTCACACCCTTTTACTTGCTACCATAGCGATTTTCTAAGACGTGCATCTGATCACCTCACTCCCCTATGTGAGTCTTCATCTCTACCACCTGTAAGATAAAAGCTAACTCCTTACCGTACTGTATAAGACTCTTAGGATGTGGCCTCTGCTACCGGCATGTCCCAGCCTTCCTCTGCACGCACCTGACATTCTAGCCTACCAGTTACCAAATGGGCTACGCTCTCGTTCTCTATGCTTATGCACCTTCTGTTGCCTCTGAGTAAAACCCTTTCCTTCCTTTTTGTACTTTACTCATTCTTAAGTCTCAGTTTGGCCACCACATTTTTTAAAAAGCTCCCTCTAGAGGCGCCTGGGTGGGTCAGTCGTTAGGCATCCGCCTTAGGCTCAGGGCATGATCCCAAGGTCCTGGGATCAAGCCCCGCATCGGACTCCCTACTCTGCAGAAAGCCTGCCTCTCCCTCTCTCACTCCCCCTGCTTGTGTTCCCTCTCTTGCTGTGTCTCTCTCAGTCGAATAAATAAATAAAATTTTTTTAAAAATAAATAAATAAAAAGCCCCCTCTTACCCCTCTATTTGGATTGGGTACTCTGATGCGATCCCAGAGCACCCTGTGAATATTCTGATGAAAGAAATCACAATACCGCATTGTAGTTGCTTGTTTATCCACCTTCCCCTTTTCCTCCAAACTGTAAGAAGCAGAGTCTATATCCTTAATGCTTAACAGAATGTCTGGGATGTAGCAGATGTTCAGTTAATATTGTGTAAGTCAATGAGTGAAAGAATTTCTCATTATAAGCATTTGGTAATTAACACCTGATACGTTTCTAGATGTAGTACTCTGGCTCACGTATCTATATGTCCTCAGTTCTTCAACATAAGGGAGTATAAGGGATACGGCAGCTATATGAACAGGTTGGGAAACTTGGTCGTCACAAGAGAGACCTACGATATTTACCAATCAGCCTTTTATAGAGAAAGTTGGTTGGCTTTTGGTCTTGAGCATTTGGGGAATGAGGATGTGCGGCTTCAGGTATAAAGTGAACGTCCACTGTTACATCTATTACGCTGTCTAGAACTCTTAGAAATACAAGAGACTTGAACTGGTGTTTTCAGCAGTCTGATGAATTTAAATTTACTATGCTAAAAACCCTAAACTGAAATCAAATTCAAGGTGAGCCTTTGGCACAAGTAGTGATGCAAATCATATAAAACACATATAACAAACAATTAAAGGCAATCCACAACTTAAGCTGAAGCAGACAAAGGCATACCAGAGTTGGTCGGGAAGTGCTGGATTCAGGTTGCTGTGGTTTGACAGGTGGTCGCCCGTCGTACTGAGGAAGTAGAGTCGGGTATAACACCGTGGGCAGCTCTATGTTTAGTCCCGGGAGTCCATGAAACATAGATTTCTAATAATGATGATTAAGGAGACACACACACACAGAAAACTAATCATAAAACAATGATTCACCATGTTCTGGATCACATCAATGAACAGATTAATGTCTAGAAGCTTATTAAGGAAATTAAAATGGACAGAAAATTGATACCTTGGTGGTTTAGGGGTTACAGAAGCATTTAATCTCATCTGGATAGATCTATCCTGGCCAGATTAGGTTAGACTTGATTTTAGTTTATTTAATCATGTTTTTTATTAATTTTTAAAATTTTTCCAATCTGTTTTATCCAATCCTTTGATCCATAATTTTTTAACCAATCTATTGTTCTTTTTTCACTTACGCATGTCTACACCCAGCTGTTTGTCTATTTGGGTGACGGGAAAGGGAAGGATTTGATGTTTTTATGATTATCAAGCTAAGTTATCACACATGGCTTTGAACCGAGGCCACTTCCTGGCTGAACTGAAAGGTGGGTCCCCAGAGAAGCTGATCTGAACTTCCCACTGACCGGCAGGCTCAGAAGCCAAAGGATGCATCCTCCTAATGTGATCCTGACTGGCCTGCCGACTGCATGGGCCCAGAGCCAAAGGGAAGCCCTGGTTCTTCTTTCAAGTATAAACAGGTTTGAGATGATCTAAAACTAAATTATCTACAGATCATAACCTATTCCTTTCCTAACTTAAGATTCGTAAGTAAAGTTGCAGAATTTTGATATATTTACTTAAGGCAAGTTTTATTGTTTTCAGTTCTTAAGTATGCTTATATATGAACATTTGAATGATCTTTCCTAAAATATAATAACCTAAAGCTAGCCTTAGAGTGATGATGCAAAGTGGTCCTTACGCCTGGGGTTTAAGGAGGAAAGATACTCACCATAATGAGGACTTGGGTTTAAACAGGCAACACCTCACCTTTAGCACAGCCAGAAGAGCTCCAAGTTCCTCAGTCTGTGTTAGTTTCATCTTGCCCCCATTTAGAAGAGACTGTATACCTTTTAATGCATTTTGTAACAACTAGGGGAAAGAAGGGACAAGTTTAAAGGTAAAGGAAATGTAGTTATCCAGGGATCAACTTTCTAGCACCACTGAGGCTAGAGGAGAAAAAGTCTCTAGATGATGAAAAAAAAATTCAAAAGGAGAAAAAAAAATGAAGATCCAGAGGAGAGAGATCTGATGAACTACTACTAATTATTTTCTAGAAGAATAGAGTGCTCTCATGGAGGAATGGTCTTATCCTATATGTTTATAAGCTAGCATGTACAAATGGTGAGCACGAGAAAAAGAAAAAGAAGAAGAGGTGTGTAGTGGGAAGAAGGTGATAGGGATGGAAAAGTAGCAGCGGAGATGGGAAGCGGGGAAGCTCTCTGATGCACCAACCTCACTAGTTCTTAAAAGCAAAGGCATGTGTGGGGAGCAGGTTTCCAGAGAGCAAGTCTGATCCAGATTAATCTTCTGACCAGCATTCTCATTAAGAAATACCATCCTGAAGAACTACTAACCCCACAGAGAGAATGTGGACAATAGCCTTTTTCTGAAATAGTGGAAACACTCAAGAAGCTTCCATTTCCCCCTGTTCTGTGTCATCCTCAGAAGGTCAGAAACTGACCCTCTGTGGCATGGGAAAGTCACCCAAAGTAAAGCAGGCGTCTGCCAAGCACTGTCAATGCTGTGTTTCGTAGACTGCTCGTAGGGCCCTACAGGGTAATTGCATCACCTGTCCCATTTCAGACAGAAGGAACAGGGCAGCTCAAGAAGTTCAGTAACTGGGCCAAGGTCTCCCAGTGACAGCAGTCCGAATGCATGAGGTACATCAACAGGTACTGAAGAGCTGCCCTAGAAATATTCACTTTAAAAAGGAGACAAAGGGGGATGCCTGGGTGGTTCAGTCAGTTAAGCTGCTGCCTTCAGCTCAGGTCATGATTCCAGGGTCCTGGGATCAAGTCCCGAAACCGGCTCCTTGCTTGGCAGGGAGCCTGCTTCTCTCTCTGCCTCTGCCTGCTTGTGCACGCTCTCTCTCTCTCTCTCTCTCTGATAAATAAATAAAATCTTAAAAAAAATAGAACAATAAAAAAAATAAAAAGGAGGTAAAAGGGCGTGTGGGTGGCTCAGTGAGTTAAGCCTCTGCCTTTGTTTGGCTCAGGTCATGATCTCAGGGTCCTGGGATTGAGTCCCACATCGGGCTCTCTGCACAGTGGGGAGCCTATTTCCTCCTCTCTCTCTGCCTGCCTCTCTGCCTGCTTGTGATCTCTGTCTGTCAAATAAAGAAAAATCTAAAAAACAAAAAAAGGAGATAAAGTTGAAAAACAGCATATTTAATATGACCCACTTGAAAATTATAAAGTTATGCTCATTTACACACAGAAATAATATCTGGGGGCTCACAGAGCAAACTGTTCCAAGTGGTTATATCTGAGCAGGAACTATGAAGAACTTTCATCATCACAGATCTGTAATTTCTGATATGTGTCACTCAATTTAAAACATGTTAACAGGGGCACCTGGGTGGCTCAGTGGGTTAAAGCCTCTGCCTTTGGCTCAGGTCATGATCCCAGGGTCCTGGGATCGAGCCCCATATCGGGCTCTCTGCTCAGCAGCGAGCCTGCTTCCCTTCCTCTCTCTCTGCCTGCCTCTCTGCCTACTTGTGATCTCTGTCTGTCAAATAAATAAATAAAATCTTAAAAAAAAATGTTAACAAATTGTCATATTTCTATCAGCTTTTTTAAAAAAGAAATAATATTGCAGATACTGATGAAATCCACTCTCTTCCATCTAGAAGATATTTATGAGGGGTGCCTGGGTGGCTCAGTTGGTTGGGCATCCAACTCTCGATTTCTACTCGGGTCATGATCTTGGGGTTGTGAATCGAGCCCCAAGTCATGCTCCATTATGGGTATGTGAAGCCTGCTTGGGATTCTCTCTCCCTGTATCTCCTGCCCTTGCTTGTACTCTCTCTCTCACTCTCTTTCTCTCACTAAAAATAAATAAATAAAATGACAGTTACTAGTCTGAAATTGTATTGCTTTTATAGTCAGGAGAGAAAAAAATATTTTTCTTTAAAAAGCTTTAAAATTGCAAAACAAAATAAACAGAAACTGTTTTGTAATTTAAACCGGAAAGATACGATGTCCATTTTAAGTTACAAACATTCCATGCATGCCTATTATCTCTCGACAAAACTAATTTGACAACCAAATTATACTCTTTAGTAACAGCCTCTGTTCTATTGCTGCTTCTAGACACATCTGTAACATCCACAAGATCAGTGGTAGCCCCACCTACCATGCAAAACGTGATGTCATCCATATCAGATGATTTTGGAGACTGTAAAGTGGTCAAGAAAGCCTGGAAGCAGATATTTGGGTAGGGCTCCTCCAAGTATGGCTGTCCCGGCACACTAAAACACATATAAAAAAGCAATGCAAACTCAGTCTCCTTTGAAACGGGACTCGCAAAAGAGTAAGAATTAAAAATAGCAGTAATACAGACCAACGGAGTTGGACTATGCCCTTGGATGAAGGGCATAGGTATTGAGTCTGTGCTCCTCATTTTTCATTGCAGACATCTACAACTGGGTGGCCGGGATGGGTGCCAATTTCTTAGAAGAAACTGGCTTTGACACAGGCCTCAACAAAGCTTAAATTCTTATGACTCTATTCTAAAAGATTTAATATGGTTAAAATTTATATCAACGGAAAACAAAGCCTTGGCATACTGCACATGGACTTCTTTTACCCTATTTTAGGGATAAGGTCCTAGTCTAGTTTTTCCTTTATCTTTTCTATAAGCAATATTAAAATAAAAAATAAACAATATAAGATGATCTTATTAGCAAGGAACATGAGAATCACACAGTAGATTATTTTTCTAAGTTGGCTCTGGCTTCAGACTGATTGAACCACCCACAAAGGGCCCACGAGAAGCCCTGTCTTACCGCAGCTGGGAGCCGTGAGCATCCACATACCTGAGACACAAGTTTGCCATACAGTGCACGGCAGCTCTCCTGACTTCAGGGTCGGGCTGAGCCAAGTCACTCAACGTCATCAAAATCCCGCTCTTGCCCAGCAAGTCTGGGAGGTACTAAAACAAAATAACAGCTGATGTTGGTCAAAGAAAGCTCCGAGGAAAATATTACTCTTTAGACAGATGTCAGTTTTTAAACTAAAAGGCAGTTAAGTTCCACAAGACGAGCTGCTAGGTAAATCTTCCAGATGGGCATGCAAAGGTGTGCCCCAAAACACCAGCGGGGATCACCACTCCCAGCCTAGGTAGTTGCTGAAGCTCTTCCGTCATGGGTACAGAGCTGAAGGGTAATGATAATAGTAACAGAGATTAATAATAAAGGTAATGACATTCACTGAATGCCAAGCACTTCACGAGGACTGTCTCACTTCATCCTCAGAGGAACTACTGTACACATGAAGACACGAGGCTCAGAGTGGTTGACTGAGAGTTGCTCAAGGTCACACGTACCATGAATGATAGGACCAAAACCTCAGAATGGGCCTGTTGCTTCAGAGCCCGTGTTCCTAACCTTTTGAAGGAAAGACAGAACACAGTTGAAACTACCTTTTGACATTTTGAGCCATTGCAGTAAACCAGAGCTGCCAGGGCTTGAAGGATTTCCACGTGTGTCCAGGAACTACACTGCTGAAGAGCAGAAATAGCATACCCCAGCAGGAAAGCCAGGTTCCGTTCATCCACAATGACCTATCAAGACAGGAAAAAATATGCATGATTTAACTGGTAAAAAAATATCTTTATCCTTTCGGACATGTATGCTCACCTGAATCAAGCTGTGAAAGACAGAACACGTGTGCCCATCTTTCTGGTGTCAAATAGATCAGCTCTGAAGACCCTGCAAGTCTGACCATGACAAGGCCTTCTCCTTGCCCCAGGGCCTTGCTCATTACCTCCCCCTTTATTCCCTCCACACAAAGGAGAACCTGGCAAAGTCCTTGTAAATTTTTCTGGACACCGGCAGCTAATAATCCATTTATATGGGTAAGACTCAATCCACTAAAATTGCCTTCTACATAGTAAATGCTCAACAAATACACTGCGAGTATGTATGTCTGCTAAATAGCTACTATGGCTCACTCTGATGGAGGAAACAGGACAGGAAGACATATCTTTGTCCTCAAGGAGTTTATAATCTTGTTGGGACAAAGCTGGTTAATCGAAGTATCAATTCATGAATAACTCAAATAACCTGTCATCAAAAACTAGGAAGTCGGCTAAGGGCTGTAGGTACCATATGTGATCAGGAATTTTTCCAACTGCCTAAGTTACAAAGGTAATATATCTGACACCAGTAAACATTCAGAAGATACCGTATCGGTGTGAAAAATTCTAAACTTGAAAATAGGCTCATTTCATTTAGGAAGTCACACGTAGCAGACACTGCTTACCTATCAGCATTCATCTCCTGTCTCCTGCTGGCAGAGTACTGATTTTATTTGGTGGCTCATCTCTTGCACATGAGACCTGAGGGTAAATCCCAATTAGCTAAGACAGTGGTCCTCTACTGGGGGCAATCCTATTTCCCAGGGAAATAAGATTTTTTTTATGGCAGTGAGTATAGACATTCACAATTGGGGGGATGCTACTAGCTTCTAAGGGAGAAGATAAGAGAGATGCTGCTAAAATCCTATAATGCACAGGACTGCCGCCCACAACTAAGAATCATCCAATCCAAAATATCAATAGTGCCAAGATTAAGAAACTTTGATATAAAAGTTGAGCTGCACATTGTAATCATCTAGGGAGCTTAAGCCCTCCAGGTGATTCTAATATGCAGTCAAGGTTGACCCATGGTTTAAGCCACTCATGGTAAACCATTCCCCTGATCAGAGGGGTGTAGAGGGGTTTTCATATGACTTAGGTCTCTCCAGCCAAATAGCAGGGGAGGTCTGATGGAGAGTGTGGGGGACAAGAAGCCTCGTTCTTAAATCAAAGGAACACAAAACAAATCATTCTTTTGCTTCTGCAGGATGTTATTTATTTATTTCACATGGGAGGCCTGGAACTGAGGCCGCCATCTTGACTGTAAGAGATACAGAAAACCCATATAGACAGTGAATGAAAAAAATGCCATACGTTTCTTCTTATTAAGTGCCCCTTGGAGTTCCTCCCTTGGTGGTTGTGACATGAGATAATTAAAAAAATTTTTTTAGCTATTCTAGGTTGGTTCTTCTGTTTCTTGCAGCCAAAAGAATCCTAGATTACATAATGCTAATTGTAAATTTTATGCTAACTGTATCCATGTACTCATGTGGTATCCTATGGTAGCTAACAGCCGCAACTTCTGAACTGTTTCTAAAAAGATATGAGATTTATTTAGGAAGTTAAGAAGGTTCTGGAGAGAGGGGAACCATAGTACAGACCTTGATATAAATAACAGGGGTCTTTTCATCTAATGTCCTCTTGCTCCCAAGCTACTTCTTATGTTTTATGATAAACAAAGTAGACTGCAAAAATGGTAGCTTTGGGAAAGGGGGATAAATATTGGCAGGAAAGAATCAGGGGATTGTTTCAACTTTTTCTTAGATATATCTTGGTCAAATACATCTTCCATGAAAAATTCTAAGACCTGGAGGCCTCAGTGCTATTGGTTTCTTGAACCAAACAGAAAGGGACACCTCTCATAGACAAACTTCTAGAACTGAGCAGCATAATTTTTTTGGTCAGAATTATATTTAATATCATTCTTAGTAAGGAACTGCTTCTTGCAGTTTCTCAAAAGATCAGCCTATCACACTTAACACAAATGTAGCATTTCAAAGGTTTAGTTTATGATGAATTCTAAGGTCATATACATGATTACCTGTAATCTGTTAAGTAAATGGTGGATAAGTTGAGACACTTTGCTGACAAGATGATTCTGATTAAAAGGTACCAGTCGGCAAGCTTGGACAAGAAGAGTACAGACATCCTACCAAAAAAAAAAGATAATGAAAAGGCAATATGCCTATTAGTCAAGTGAAGAACCACCACCCACCAACCCCCACCCCCCACCAAATATAGCCAAACAGAAAAATGAAAGTGAATGTTCACACTCAAAATGGGGAAAGATGAAATCTCAAGTAGAAACTCAGAAAAAAAAAATTAAATGACATCACAGAACTATGATGTCCTAAAAAAAGTATAAGACTCAATGTGGTTTTGGTCAGGCTGAAGACTCCAGAGTCTCCACATATGTAGAGACAGTGCAATTAAACAACCAAGGAAGGCCTCCAGAATGTAAAAGCACACAGTGAAGTTAAAAACACCAAAAAGTAAACAGACACATGAAAAGATGCTGAACACCACTCATCATCAGGGAAATGCAAATCAAAACTACAATGAGACATCACTGTACACCCATCAGAATGCCAGAATGGCTAAACACAAAACACAAGAAACAAGAGATGTTGGCAAGGATGTGTGGAAAAAGGAACTCTCATGCACTGTTGGTGGGAATGCAAACTGGTGCAGACACTGTCGAAAACAGTATGGAGGTTCTTCAAAAAGTTAAAAATAGAACTACCCAATGGCACTACTGGGTATTTACCCAAAGGATACAAAAACACTAATTTAAAAGGATACATGCACCGCTGTTTATAGCACCATTATTTACAACAGCCAAGATGTGGAAGCAGCCCAAGTGTCCATCCATGGATAAATGGATAAACATGTGGTTTAGATATCTACAGTGGAATATTACTCAGCCATAAAGAAGAATGAAATCTTGGCATTTGCAATGACGTGGATGGAGCTGTAGAATATTATGCTAAGTGAAATGTCAGTCAGAGAAAGGCAAACACCATATGATTTCACTCATCTGTGGAACTGAAGAAACAAAACAAACAAGCAAAGGGCAAAAAAGACAGAGAGAGAGACAACCAAAGAAATAGACTCTTAACTATAGATAGAACAAGTTGATGGTTACCAGAGGGGAGGCAGGTGGGGTGATGGGGGAAATAGGTGATGGGGATTTAGGAAGGCACTTGTGAAGAGCACTGGGTGATGTATGGAATTGTTGAATCACCGTATTATACACCTGAAATTAATATAACACTGTATGTTAACTATATGGGAATTAAAAATATTTTTAAATAAAAAAAATAGAACTCATTCATTCCCATCTTAAAAAAGAAAAGAAAGTAAACAAATCATATTTTCAATGCCACTGGGAAAATGAGAAATGACACCTGGATCAATTTATTGTAAAATAAGGTAATTCTTCCAAAAAAAAAAAAAAAAAAAGAGGGCAATCTATTTGCAAATCACACTATTCATTTATCCACTGATGTTTATTGAATTGAAAGGTTTGGAGCACCTACTATGTGCTAGGTAGTGTACTAGATCTTTGGGCTCCAAAGATGAACATGTTCCTGAACTTTAAAAAGAGCTCATGGTGAGGAAGACAGAAATACTCATAAATAATTAAAGCGAATTAAATGCTGAAAGAATTAACTGCAAACTCCACGGGGAAATGGTAATTAGGGAGGTCTTATGGAGGTGATTTTTTTAAAAGATTTATTTTAGAGAGAGAGAAAGCACAAGTGGGGGTGGGGGGGCAGAGAGAGGAGGATTGAGAATCCTAAAAAGATTCTGTGCTGAGTGTGGAGACTGATGTGGGGCTCGATCCCAGGACCCTGAGATCATGACCTAAGCGGAAACCAAGAGTAGGACACTTAGCCCACTGCCCCACTCAGGAGCCCCAGGGAGATGGATTTTTTTGTTTTGTTTTGTTTTAGATTTCATCTATTTACTTGAGAGAGAATGAGAGGAGGGGGTCAGAGGGAGAAGCAGACTCCTTACTGAGCAGGGAGCCAAATGTGGCACTTGATCCCGGAAGTCCAGGATCATGCCCTGAGCCAAAGGCAACCAACTGAGCCACCCAGGTGCCCCTCACGGAGGTGATTATTAAGCATAATCTGGAATGATCTGAAGGATGACTAAAATCTGCCAGACAGACAAAGCAAAGAAAGACACAGCAAGCAACGGGAATGGAGTGTGCAAAGACCTAGAATACCAGTAGGTGTGAAACACTAGTAGATGCTGAGGAACAGCAGGTTTTAAATGACTGCACACAAGGCACAAAAGGAGAAGTGACAGGAGACTGGAAAGGCACATATTTTTGATGAAAAAATATCAAATTATAATAATAAAGCAAAAGGTCCTAAATTCCATTCTGCTCCCTGGGGACATACACTATTATTTCATTGTAAACGCTTCCATTTGTTGCTGTGAACTCTTTACATCTATAAATGCATGTATTTTCTTAGACACGCTCCTCACTCTGTATGTCATACTGCAACGAACTGTTCCATAACCTGCTCTGATCATCTACCAATATGTATGGAAGATCTGCCCAAATCAGAGCTTTGCCTTTCGAATCAGATTTTTTCCCATGAAAGAAAAGACCACTCTAGTAGTAGAACAAAGAATGGTTTGGAGAAGAGCTAGACAGGAGGCTGAAGAGAAGTTTGAGAAGACCAGTGGAAGAGTTCAGGAGTCATCTTGCCTGAGAGCTTAAGGCACTGCAGTGGGAGCACAGAAAAGGGAATAAGAAATATATATGAGATGGAATCTGAAGAATCCGCATTGGGTAAGATCTGGGAGGAAAGAGGAAGCACCAGTGTTTGTGCCAGTGTGACCTGGCAGACTGGGCATGTTTTCGTGAGTTGGGGCATGGGATGGGCTGTGGATACAGTTGTCTCCAGAGAAAATGTAACTTCGTTTTTAGGAACTGTCAAATTTGAGGCACCTATGAGCACCAGAGGCAGTGGTATGACTGGGTCAAGAGTTCTGGGAGCTCAGTAAGTAGTATCCAAGGCCTGATGTGTGTAAACATTATTATTACTCTAAACAGGAGGCAGATAGGGAAGAGCTAGTAGGAAACAACATAAAATGGCAGGGAGCATGTGACAGCCTTTGCTCCAACTCTACCTCTGCCTTTTGCCAGCAATATGACACTGGATCTTTACGTGCCTCAGTATTTTTATCAGTAAAGTAGATCTAATACTACCCACGTTGTAAGATTCCTCGGACCGTACACCATAAAGTACCGTACACCATAAAGTACCGTACATGATGGTCTGAGTACCAGGTCTTCAATAAATGGAAGAAGTGAATTTTATATGCAAAGTGTTCTGTACGCAGGGAGTGGAGCCGGGCGACGGGAAGGTGCGACCAGAGATGACACCTGCAGTGTTATCAGAGCAGAAGTCATCAAGTGGGTTTTGTTTTGTTTTTTTTTTTTTAAGATTTTATTTAGTTATTTGACAGACAGAGATCACAAGTAGGCAGAGAGGCAGGCAGAGAGAGAGAGGAAGGGAAGCAGGCTCCCTGCTGAGCAGAGAGCCCGATGCGGGGCTCGATCCCAGGACCCTGAGACCATGACCTGAGCCGAAGGCAGAGGCTTAACCCACTGAGCCACTCAGGCGCCCCTCAAGTGGGGTTTTAAAGATGCGAGTTTGCCAAGCACTGCAGATCTTCAGCTGGAGGAGAGCAGAGACTGCCGCGGTCGGAGGGAGCCTGGGAGCCTAGAGCTAAGTAATGCTTAGCGGAGCTGGGAAAAGCCGGGCGCGGCAGGCGGGAGCTACCAGCTGGGTCCCTGAGGCTGGGGCCGGGGCCAATAGGCGCGGCCCGAGTCCTCCCCACCCCGCACGCCGCCTACCTCCGGAGCCACGCCGCCGCCCTCGCTGTAGTTCTCAGAGATGAGCTGGTCGAACAGCAGGTGGATCTCGGTCCGGGCGGAGCTGCTGTCATCCGGGCGCAGGGCGCAGAGCCTGGCCGACAAGCAGCGAAATCCACTGCTGCGCTCTGGAGGTGGCTCTCGTGGCACTTCGCGCCCAGCAGAGCCGGCGACTTGTACCGCCGCCATCTTTCCTACGTAGGACAACAGAGAAACACTTCCGGGGTATTCCCGGCTCCGCGCGCCAGTTCCGGAAATACTTCTTTAGACCCCGTCGGTCCTCGGAGTGTTTTGCGAATATTTGTCAGAAATTAACTTGGTGTTTTTCTTGTTTTGTTTTTGCTGTTGTTGTAGTTTTACCTCCCACTTGTCTTTGAGTCCTGACTGAAAAGTGGGACTCTATTTGTCCTCCTAGAAAGTGTGTTCCTGGGCAGGGTTGACATGGCTATTTAGTACTAGCGTTTCACCAGGCGGCCTGTAGTTGGAGAGGGGCTGTTGGTGGTGGCAACGGCAGAAACTGCTGGTTCTACGACATCCTTGGATTCTTCTTACATCGTGTGAGAGCCTTTGATTCTTACCCAGGCACAAAACCACCCTGTAAATAGAGGGTATAAGTCCCAGTATTCCTTGCATTTGGCTGTGCATCCTTCTGAGAAACTCGCGCTCCATTACACAAGAAAAGAAATTTGGAAGTTCAAACTGAGCCATGTAAAATATAAACTGCCTACGGGTGACCTGGTTGAGATTGGACACCCCAAGATTTCCTGTAGCCTTAAAAGCAAGAAGCTGGGAAAGAAAATAGCCATTTTAAATGCTGTAAACAGTTTTTAGTCACCCAAGAGGTGAAGGCATGAAATTTACATTTGGTCATGTCTTGGGTTTTTGAATTATGCAAATATAGAGCAGATGCTCATCAGTGGTTCTTAGGAAAACCTCGAAGTCACACGAATGTACACGTTTAATCCTGAGACTAAAACACTTGTGTTTAGCAATAACAATTGGGGACATGCTTTAGAAGAGCTTGTTTTCTGAAGACTTTGGGTTTGGGGAAGAAATACTAATTTTTTGTTTGAATTTAGATGTCATTGTGTTTGTATATTATTGCTTATTCTTGGGATGTGTGTATGTGTGTGTTATGTATTTGTGTGTGTTTGTGATATTCAAGCATTTGCTCACAGAAGATCAGGAGTTGAGACCTAGTCACGGAAGTGTTAGTCTGATTTCTCCCAAAGCAGAGCCTTAGATGAGGTTTATGTGACTGACTTATTCAGGAATGAATAGGGAAGAAAGGAGAATCAGTACACCTATGTACTATCAAATTGGCCATTGCAAAGGGTGAGTGCTCAATCCTCAAGATTTTCTGAGAAGCCTTATGGAATGTTCTCAGACACCCCCCTGACCCCCGTCAAGGAATGGAAGATGGAAGCATATAACTGTCAGCCTTTGAATTCTGTTGTCAGGCCTTACCCTCACCAGGTATCAATTCTCCAATGCTTCTCATTTGAGCATGTCAATGGGTAGTGGTTCCTGCAGGAGTTTCTTGTTGTACAAAAAAGCCCTGAGGCAAAAGTGAGAGGTATGGGGTACTGGGGTACAAGTCCAAGGCAAGTCTCTGATTACCTTGTACTAAACTAGTAGATGCCTGACAGAAACTGCTTGCCATAGCGATGATTAAAACAAGAGTGTAAGGCCAGGAGTATTTGAAGGAATGCACAAGAGATACCCAACACTGGGCTAGAAGCACATGAAGCCTGGTCATCACCACAGTGGAGGTGGTGACCTAGACTGGAAAGGATCTGGGTTCAATGTGGCTCATCTTAGGTTGTAACATGGATGATCCATATTAATATTCAGGACTGAATGACCCAGGAATTGCGAAGTGTGCAGATACGGCCAATACCGGTCTTTTAAGCTCTGATGGAATATGCCCTTGCGGATGGCAGTATGATTTCTACAAGGAAATGAACATTCCTACCTTTTAGTGATCACTAACTGAAGAAAACATACATCAAACTCTCAGGGAGGACTTGAGGGCCCCCTTCCTTGTCTTGTGTTTAGGTGATAACCCCCAAACTGTGGAACTTAGAGCTTGGCAAAAGTTCTCCCAAGAAAATCTCCTCACACATCCTTACTCCTCCTCACTCTCAGTATTTTTTAAACTTACAGAACCTTGGGGCCTTGAAGATGCTAAGCATGTTCACAGCCATTTCCCTTTATAAATTCCGCATAAGGTGATCTGGAACCCTTACTCTGGAATATCACCTCTTTCATATTTTGGAAATCTGTCAAGACTTAATTTTTATCATCTCATTAGAGTCTGGATCATTCTAACTGAAGTAGACTTTACTCCTTACCCCTTCTAATTCACATCCTTGTTTACTTCCTTCAGAACATTGACCATAATGTGTAACAATCTTCTTTATTGTTATATTACCTGTTTCTTCCTCTAGGAAGTGAGATTTGTTAAGGCATACATTCTGTCTGTCTGATTCACTATTTTATCCCTAACACTAGCATGGCACCTGAGTCATGGTAGACACCTCCCAGTACTTACTGGTGGAATGAATAAATTCACTATTCAGCGCCTCCTATTTCCCTTAGGTTGGTTGTTGTGAAAATCAAATGGGATCTTTGTGATACTTTGTAAACTATAATGTTCTATAAATCTTAGCATCCAAGTGAGGTAGATACTGTTATTTTCCCTTTTTACAGATAAAAAAGTTTAAATGGCTTAGAGAAAGACAATTTAAAGGGTTCAAATGGTTTGTCAAGGCCCACACAGGCAGTAAATTGGCTGAAATCAGACCACAGACCAGGCCAGTTGCAATAATGAAGAACATGGACAAAAAATTGTAAGTCTATTTTTACCTCCCATCTTTTGTAATGGGGAAAACCAGAAGAGAGGGGCTGGCTTTCAGGATCCAGATGAGCTAGGATAGGCTAGGAAGGAGGATTGTCCTAGGCTTCTGTTCTAGATTCCTTGAAAATTAGTACTAAATGCCATCATCCCATCTATTTGATAATCATAACAATTGTAGTTAACATAATTGAATGTTTTGTGTGCCAAGTACTTTACATGAACTAACTTCTTTTGTCCTTGGAGCTCTATGACGTGTATATTGTCATACAGATCAGGAAACTGAAGCACAGAAAGGTTAGGACACTTGCTGAAGGTCACACAGTTATGTGGCAGACCTGGGTTTGAAATTCAGAATCAGAATTCCTAACTACCTCACTATAATGCATAGGCTCTGGAGCTGGAATGGGATTAGAGGTAAGACCCTGTCACTTACCTGCCATGTGATTTTGAGCAAATTACTTAATCTCTCCAAACCTCAGCATCCTTATATATAAATAATAAGCATAGTCACAAGGTGGTTGTAAGGATAAATTAGATGATGCTTATGGAGAATATAACACAGTTGCATATCAAGTGCTCCGCAAATGTTACCTGTCTCCCACCCTGTCCACCTCATCATCACCCTTAACCAAATAACCCAAACAGCGTGGGTACTGTTGACAATGATTTATTAAAAGAAATGACTCTTTCCCCTTCCCCACATCTCTTGTAATCTCTACCCACAGACACCCATTTTCATCTGTCTTCCCGGTGAAGGAGTTCCAGTTGTATCTTTGAAGACAGGAAGTGTTGAGAAATTATTGGGGAAGGATGACCTTCAAGATGAGTCTTCATCTGAAAAATGGACCAAAAAATTATACGTGAGACCTGCTGTTTTGGGGACCTGGAATGACAGAATGCAATCGAGAGGGGACAGTTCTCAGTTTCGGGAATCAATAAGCACCTGAAAGAACCAACAAGGCCAAAAGCATCCCAAGGATGTGGGTGAATTGGACAGATATTATATTCTGAACACAAATGGGTTACTTGTAAAGTTTATGTTGATTCTATTGTGTTAGTTATTATATGGACTAATGAATACAGCTTAGTTTATAATCAAGGCTGAATCATGGTAGCTTCTCATTATGCGTTTTCATTTGATGGATATTGAAAATAAAGAAACGATCATGTGAGGACCCTGAGATATTTCTACAGGAAAGGGGTTCTCATAGGTCAGTCTGGCAGTGTGCATCAGAGGCGGAAAATGAACATACTCTTTGGTCATAAATTATAATTCTTAGAATTTATCCCAAGGAAATTAATAAGGGCATATGCACACATTTAATATTCATTATAACCATATTAATAAACAATGAACATATTAAATGTGTATTAATGGGGGTTACTAAATATATGAGTATATATGGTGGACTTCTACAAGGCTGTTAAAGAAGACTGATGTTGTTCAAAGTTGTTCATTAGGTATTTCTAAGTGAAATAGTTAAGAAGTCAAACTAGACATACGATTATCTCATTTCAATATATATGTTATGTGTCTGTGTGTGTGTTTAAAATATGCACCAGAGTATTAAGCAGGTATCATTTGGGGATGGGAGATAATGTGACTGGTTTTTATGTTCTTTTTGTTCAAATAAATAATCTGATTTCTCTCCTAGATATATGATGAGCTAGGAGAGTAAAATTATTTTAAAGGTTTGGAAGGCACCATCCTGTCATAGATACTTCTTGGGAAGGGTGTGAAGAGGGAAAGGCCACAGAGAGACAGGTTTCTATCCCACCCACTTCTGGAAAGTCCCATCAGAGCCAGCCAGCCTAGCTGGGACAAGGTTTGAGGAAGCAGGGAGGGGCTGCTGTTTTTACCTGTCCTTAAACTGCAGCACAGACGTGGCCACACCCATTGCTGACGCAGCTCTCCCCTACGTCACAATCCCAGTCACCGCTGCAGAGCTCAATGCAGGTGCCTATATTAGAACAGACCGGCTGAAAACCACCCTGCTTTAAGCACAAGTGTCAGAGAGGACAGCCCTTGACCGATTGAAAGAATCCGTTCCATTTTTGTCTTCCAGTTGAATAAAAAGGGAATTTGTAAATAGTTACTCACAGAACAACAACTCATTAACATCTTATATATTACAGTTTAAAATGATGCATTCACATGACCACAATAAAGTAAGGCCCACTTTAACGAAGAGCGTAACTGTGTTTGCGGAAGAGAAGTACAAAGAAGTCCCCTCAGATGTCCCCACTTCCCTACTCTGCAGGGAAATGGGCAGAAAAGAGGAGACTCACACCTACCAAATGCCATCAGTGGTGACTTGCAGTCACCCTGCGCGGTGAGTCTGACTACTCTCACCTTA